CACAGGATCATCCAAACATCGATTTAAGGGTAGAAAAACAGTTTTCTCAGCTCGAGGACGAAGGAAATTCTCCGATAATAATAAAAGCAAATAATGGAGTTTGAGCTGCCAAGGAAACGTAAACGAGTCTGCGGTGTTGGCAATGTTTGTTTTTCTTGGCTCTTTGTTGGTTGCGTGGGCATTCCCACACGATGATTCCTCTTTTATGTGAAGCACGTTCGTCCTTTTATCAATCAAAATTTTTTTTGTTTCGATTCGTAGCCACTGCCGGGAGGGACGTCGAGATCGGTTTCAACTTATCTCGTTTATTTTGCTTTGTACAGGATTGTTTTTGTTTACTAATCACGCAAGGATAATTCAGCGAGTCGTCGCTTGTTCTCGATATTTAATTCTTTGAAAAAAAAATCCAGGACCAATTTAAACAGCAAAAGCGAATTTCCTTCTCGATGTTAATTCTTTGACAAAAAAATCCAAACAGCAAAAGCGAATTTCCTATAGCTTCGATTTTTCTTTGACAGGATCAATGGCAAAGCAACACGTTATTCTGAAAATGTCAACTGTCTTTGAATTTTTTCAGTACAAAGTGGAAAATATGAAAAATTTACAAACTAAATTTCTACAAATCGTATCTGATTTGGGTCATATATTTTATTAAAGCGTTAACGTTGAATACTCTTTATTTCTACTGTTATGTATGTTAATTTATTTTCAACTATGTTGAACATTATAATTCATCGTATACTTTGTTAAAGCGACGTTTATACATTTTTATGTGTTTATTTCCAACACCATACCCCAATTAATGCTAAAAATTTTCGTTAGAATAACAAATTAGAACTGTAAAGTTTTGACAGTTAATTATCATATTTTAAATTAACGAAGCCCAACTAAATAATTCAGTGCCTGATAAATAATTCTACATACAATCTTCACGGTTCTGGACCCGTTTAAAACTTTACCATTTTTAAGCCAGAAACAGTTTTAGTCCTTTTATTGTATATAATTAGAGATATCATAATGACAAGAAAACAGTTTCGAAAAGTTCCTGAATATTCTGTTGAAAACGAACGTTCCGGTAGTGTATTGGTTATAGAGTAGCTATCGGTATCCGGCTCAAAGGACCAAAAATGTAGCTGCTGTACGCGTCATTAGAAGCCGATAGGTAACTAAGCTGCCACGATCGTTTGTGGACTTAAAGGGAAAAATCCCTTATCAAGAAAATATCAAAAACGAGAAGCTTTCTTGAAATCCTTGGGCATTCGAAGTGGCTTTCTAGATGAACTCGATGTGAGAACAAACAGATATAGAAATATTTAGTTTTTGGTGTAGGTAATACTGGAACAGCATAAAAGAAAAGGTTGAAAACATTTGCAAAATTTAATTTTGGAAATTTCACCAACTAGTACAGGTTAGGTTCATCAACAAAAATTTTTCAAAGGAATCTAGAGCAGTTTGACCTTAATGGGATAAGTGAGTTGACGAAGAACTAGGAATATTTTCTAATACAAGAAGAACTTTATTAACATGACAGTGTAAAACAGTTCCACTATTAACTGAATTATTGAAGTTTCTGTTTGCTAATGGAAACACGCAAAGTGGCACTATTAGCTGAGGTTACCTAAAGAATTCTTTAAAAATTCCGAAGGCAACTTATTATATATGTTCAGACTCTAACACAAACTATTACTATAGAAGGCTTAAAAACAAAATGAATCATTGAACGAGAACCTATATATAAGTGGTATGAAGAAACAATCATATAATAGAACAAAAAAAATTACTTATCAAATCGTTTAAAGGAGATTTGCTAACGGAAAAAAATCACCCATGAACCAAAGATATCAATCTGTGGGTGAAAACAAACCAGAAATACTTGGATCATATGTTGAATCTACACGAAGAAGCTTCGAAGACACTTTACAAAAAAAAATGGTTGAAGGTTATTTCGACAGAATTTTCCTTGCCCCTGAAAATCGTACAAATCCAGATTTTTCGAAAAATTATAAGATTTGATTGTGCCCATTTTATTTTTTTTTATAACCCTTTTGAAGCACCCTGTATAAGTAATTCTAAAAACTATAAAAAAAATGCATTGATAAACCACAAGTCATAATATTTTGCATATTTCCGAGAGGATTTATTCGGCAAAATTTTGAGATGACGTCATCAGTTTTTTAGGAGGGAAAAAACGAATAAATTTTGATTAACGATTTACCATTATTCGGATGACCTTAAAACGTTTGCAAGATTTCAGAGTAATTAGTTTTGCAGTTTCAAAGTTAAATTGCAACATATTGTTGTATAATTTTGATTTTTTTTCCAAAAATATGGATGTCTAGGGTGAAAATTCCACACAGATTCATACAGTACAAGTGCAAGGGTATCTTAGTTTATAAAATTCAAAACAAATTTACTATTATAAAAAAGACAGACAGACGGAAACGAGAGACCACTTTTTTCGTACTCGAGAGGTCATGAAACGTCGAGAAAACATGAAAGTGGGCAGTTATCCAATGGACTCGATTACTATACTTCCTTAACATACGCTCAGGAAGTAAAAATATGGATAATAGCAATAACAGTGTAAGAACGAAAAAAACATGCCACATTCAAAAAAAGGTTGCTGTACAAATTCAATTTTTTTGCGAAAATTTGGATGCGTCGGGGAAAATCTCAAGGCGGATTCATAAACAACAATACAGGAGTATGATATTGTATAAAATTTAAATCCTGCTTACTATGATTTTGAAGGGATATTGTCGCATTGTTGGTAGGGATGATTAGACAAATTTTGGTTAGCGTTTACCACCTACATGACAACATAATATCAAATTTAACAACAAGACGACAGACAGATAGATGGAAACGGAGACCTATTTTTTCGTGCTCTTAGGAATATGAAAAGTCAAAAAAACATTTGAAAATTGATCTACACAGACAGACAGACAGATTGACGGACGGAAATGGGGGCCTATTTAGTTTACACTCGTGAATTTAAAAATGTAGTGAGGAAGTTCTGTATTACTTATATGTTTTTGGAATCTAGAAATGATAGAACAATTACAGTTTTATTGCTACATAGAAAGAGATAAAATGTCGAATTGTGAAAAGTTTCTAAACAATCCTTCAATATCCTGTGGGAAAAAATTTTACTAAGAGTAGAGCTTATCAAGGAAAAATGGAAACATTTCTTGAAATTTTGGGACGTTCGTAGTGACATTCTAGATACATTCAATTTGAGATCGGACAGAGATATCATTATTTGGTTTTTGGTGTGATGTTCGAGTACCATAAGAAAGTAATTTGAGTGGGCAAATTTATTTAGGGAAAGATAGAGATCCAAGAAAGATTCTCGATGGATTTCTAAAACATTCTACCTAAAAAAGCAATATAGTATCAGATTTGAATTACTGTCAAATGCATACAGGTTGTAGGAAAAACCATCGACTGAAGCATTTAGTTGCAAGTGAAAATAGGCAGACTTGATGTGTGGAACTAGAACTAGCGACAAGTTTTTCAGAAAACTTGTGCTTGTTGAGACTATTGCACAAACTAAGGCTGTAGATAGAATAACAAAACGAATCATTGAACGAATCAACGAAACACTAAGTCGAAGACCAAGGAGCAAGAACATTTAGATTTCAAATCAACTTAAACATGAAGATTGCTCACGAAAAGAAGAAAATGACCAATCAACTAAAGAAATCAATCTATTAGTAAGAAAAAAGCTTTGAAGACAAAAGAACATGAACGAACAACATCTAATACCTTCAAGTTGTTCATGACCCAAGAACTTAAAATATAGATAATCCACGACAATAACTAACCCTGGGATCATCAAGGGCCTACTGAACTAAGAAGATATTGGTCAAATCGAGAAATCTAACTATTTTAGAAAGGGACCGTGCTTTAAATAGTGCTTAAGAATCGAGCAGCGAATTCAATTTTATATGTATGAAGAGTCATTATTAATTAAATTTGTACAGTTTGACCTTTCATCAAGGTGAATCCACGTCCAACAAACTGTCGTGATAGTAGAAAAACGAATGTGTGTAAATTTGAAGAAAACCGCCTTTACCTACCTTAATATGGAAGTGATTATTTTTTTATCGGTGTGAGTTCTACCCAATTATCTAAATGATGATTGATAGTTGGGTGTATATCCAGTTGATTATAGTCGTTGTGATAAAGCTTGTTTGGAATATTATTATTGTTATAACGTCGATACCAGTCGTGCACTTTGAGCATTTATAGTCAACCATAATGACCAATTTTCAGTTGAGGAAAAGTATAGACATGTGGTATTTTAATCTGGAAATACCAGTTGACAGCCCCGATCTCAAGAATAGTATTTTTTCCTGGAGTTTGATATTACAATATCGATTAAAGTGTGAATAATTGACCACTCTAAATTACTATTTCGTAGTTGTACACAGGTGCTAGCAAGGGTATTAAATGATTGTAAATTTTATTATTCACACGGAATATCCTTTCAAAACGTTTTCCCAACAGACTTTTTCATCGAATTCCCAGCTGAATCGCCTTCACAAAAACCGCAATCAAAGAGCGGCTTTTATTCTAAAGACATTTTAATGAGTTGATTACACTTGAAGTACACGACCACAACAAAAATAAAGCTATTAAAGCGTGTGCGTGCATGATGTGGCTACTGTTGCGGTGTAAACACGACTTGACATTTTAAGGTGGAGATTTTTCCATACTAATCTCGATTAAATTGCATAATTTCCCAGTGGGGAAACTTAGACCAGAAATACAATTTCAAAACCATCTCTGACATTTCCTACCATTTTCTAAAAAAGCAAAACATGTGTCAAAAAATTGTATTGTTGGTTGCTTTTTGAATGTTTCGTTGACATTACGTCAAAAATGTTACCAAAACCAAGTTTACATAATTTGCAAATAATCATTTATTAACGATGTATGTAGTATTTACCGTCATGTCAAGGTCGTCTATTATTAATATGATTTTTTTATTGCAGATTCTTGTGGAATATGACGACGTCGAGTGGCATCGAAGGGAATGGATTTGCATCTACAAGGACAAACTGTTCCACCTGTTCCTGGTGGAGCAGGGGCTGGTCTGGGTCGAGCGTAGAGATCCTTTCGCTCCATCAAACACAACGGCAGTCCTATGGCCTGCTCTTGTGAGTACTCTCATCCCACCAATTAAAAGTTTTAATCAAAACCATGAGTTTAATCGACGCACACGGCGCGACGCGAAACTTATTTAATTAACCCTTTAATTGTACACATTTGGGGATATTAATTAATAAAAGTTGTACTGCCAACTGAGAATACAAACAATCCATCATCGGCTCAAGCACGGAAAAAACCGGCGTGTTCCACTCATTCATGCAGGTTTATTTATGAAACACGTCGGCTTCGTTAAAAATATGTAGGACATGTGTTTGGATCGCTGTATAAATACGAGTTGCAAAAATAATTTAACATCTTCGGGAGAGTGAAGCGGTGCGCTACCGTGTCACGTGACGCGGATTTATGACAGGTCCGGCTTGAGACGCGAGCGGTGAGACGGCCAAATTGCCCCGGGGCGCAGCGTCAAAGGAGCGAAATTTGTCGTTTTTATTCCACATTCTCGTCTCGTGTATACGTCGTTCCTATCACGGTTTTATTAAACACGTAGCGCGGGATAGTGTTCCCACACAAATCAAATGGGCAAAAAACAAAGAAAATTCAGTAAAAAACTTGCTTAGGCCTGAGATCGACCAAAGTAGAAACAGGAAAGCCCGACTTCTTATTAGTTATTTGATTTTTTAAATTCTACGATGTGCAATATATTTTTATGACATCATAGTTTTAAACGTCGCAACGAAAAAATATAAACTATGCGAAAAATCATTTATTTTTCTCGCCAAATTTGGTAAATATTATTATTATTATTATTGTTAAATGTAAATAAAGCTGACCTTGAATTTGGAGTCGATGATTTAGTACCTAAACACTTCGAAATATTGTTAGTTGTAGAAGTATTTCGAAAAAAACCTGTCGTTTTAAAATTTTAAATGTCAGTTGTTTCAGTAACAAATTGTTTTGAATTTTGGAGTACCACGCAAAAACGTATTTGTGAAGTGCATGGCCAACTTTCAGGCCGGAAAAACCGCAGAGTAGTAATCATTTAACGATGTATTTTCAGTATATTTGCGGCTATAAAACGTGGGAAACACGACAAAGTTATGGGCAGTAGCTTGCGGGTTTAAAACTTTTGCCAATGTCATTGAAAGTTATTTATTTCACAGAAAATGCCAACAATGAGCAAATCTGTTTTGCAGCTGTAGTATACGGCATTTTTCCGAAAAGCGGCACAAGCAATCTCAAACGGGTGATCGAGTGAAAAAGACATCAAGTTGGCGTTTGTGATTTTTTTTGCCAGGTTGACAACATATTTAAAATTTTATGATGGCGTACGTGTTTGTCAAATGGAAAGCTTAGGCACCAAGTCAGCAATTACCATCTTCTCATCACGTTTGTTGCATACTCTTATGTCAAAACTGACAGCTATGAACTGACATGATAACATTGTGCCAATAATTCAAAACTGCCAACACAAACATTTGCTTTCTGTTTAAATCCTAAATGTCACACGGTAATAATAATAGACCTTTTGTTCGGCTAAGTTGGCCGCCGATTTTGGTAGTATCAATCAAATGAAAAACTTGGTAATATTAGTCTCAAATTGCAGTTGGCAACAATGCATCTTTTAAATTAGGCACCACATTCGATTGGTGGATTTCGTAGCACCAAATTTAAAATGTGAGAAAATCAGCCAAAATAATTCATTGTTCTCAACCTAAATTTGGGTGCGGACAAATATTAACATTTTTTTCACTTGATTGGTTCCACTAAATCGACGCCCATGTTAGTCGTGCAAAAAAATTTCAACTGAACATCCGATAAAGTTGTCTAGGCGATACAAAAGGACAAAGAAAGGAACAAAAATAGTCCAAAAATGCCGAAAAAAGGCTACAAAAATACGACTAAACAGGATTTAAATAAAATCTGACAAAAATTGCGACAGAAAAAGAAAATAAAACACCACAAAAAAATTCGGTGATAAAAATTCCGAACAGACGATAGACAGACAGACAGACGGAAACAATGGAACCTATTTTTTTGCACTCTAAGAGTCATGAAACGTCGAGAACACATGAAAGTAACCAGTCGCCCAATGGACTCGATTACGATACTTCCTTAGCTTACGCTCAGGAAGTAAAAAGTAATCAAAAAGGCGACTCAAAGAATATGACAAGAAAGTCAACAAGAAAGTGGATAACATTGAGACGACAAATGACAAAAAAGGCACAAAAAAACGACAAAAAACACAACAAACAATGCAAAAAGGAGAATCGATAAAAAAATGTCTAAAATTACAACAACAAAAAAAACAGAAAACACCATAAAAAATTGGTTGATAAAAATATCATAAAAGAGGCAACAAAAGTCAACAAAAAAGTAGAGAAAAAGTATACGAAAATCACAAACAACATGAGACAAAAAAAAGTAACAAAAAAGGGACAAAAAAAGGGTCAAAAACTAGACAAAAAAATTGATCGAAGATTACAAAAAGCAAAGAAAGCTAGGTGACAAAAAGTCTTTAAAAAAAGGCAACTAAAAGAACGCAACAAAAAAGTGGATAAAAACCCTTAAAAAACAAAAAGGCTTTAAAAAAAAACAAAAAATCCTCAAAAAAAGTGACAAAAAGGCTACAAAAATTATGATTATGATAATAAAGGAAAGGAAACACCACAAACCAAAATTATGTAACAATAAAGCGATAAAAAAAGGCTAAATACTAAAAAATGTCAAGAAAACGCATGTGATTTATTAATTTAAACTATTGTGTATAAATGACACTTGACAGGGTTATCAAAAACAGTTAATTTTATTATACGAAAGAGTGAGGTTAGGTTGTACAAGTTTGCGGTGTCAGCTGTCGTCGATTAAATTTTAGGGTCATCTCAGACATACTTCATAATATTTACAAAAAAATCAACGCCAACTTGACAACTTTTTCAATTAAACACGCGATAATTTTGTCAAGTTTTTAGAAAGTAAGGTAACAAAGTGGCATTCTTTAAAAACATATTTTCCAATTTTTCAAAACTGTCAGAAAATAATAAAACAACCATTAAAAAGAGATGTATTATGTATTTTCTAGAAATTAATAGGCTGATCGTTATTTCTTTGCTTATTGTAATGTTTATAACTAAAGCAGTAATAGAGAGGTAGGAATTTTAATTTTCGAAAATCCAAAATTTGAGTTTTTTCGGCGTAAGTTCTCAATTCCATAACCAAATTTACTAGATATTTTTGAACATACTAAAAAAATAAGTATTTAAACACCGATATACAAAAAAAACTAGAAATATGTATTTTTGTTTTATTTTTGAAAAAGTTCGAAGAAACGCGTAGTGTTTTTTTTTAATTGAAAGAAATTTTGAGACCCCTTGTGTTTGATTTTTGAAAGAAAATACCTCAACGACTTCACTGTCTTATTTTCGAAAGTGATTGAAAAAATGTTAAAAGCCCTAAGTGTGTTTTTTTTAAATGTGTGAAAGAATTTTTGGGATTCTTTGTATTTTGTTTTTGAAATAATTTAAAAATGTCTTCCTGGTGTGTCAGTCTTCAAAAAGTTTTAGAGAATCCATTATTTGGGACTCTGCGAGACGTCTTTATTTAATCAAAATTACTAACAATAGCATTAAATAGTGTGTCAATGCTAAATTTATGGCGAGTCTCAATAATAATAACAATTAATTTTTATATTATAACGGCACCATTAGTTGTCTATTGATTGCACAAAATCTCTCGCTGTGTATTACTGCGCATAATGATGAGAGTTTCAAAATTAAATGAATAACGTCCACCTTCATTCAAAACATCATTTTCAAAATGGTCTCTAAAAATTCCTATTTTAAGTGCGAAAATAGTAACACAAATTCTGAACTTAACAAATATTTACACCGTATTTACAACATGTTTTATTATGTAAACAAATTCCCCGATCATTCAACTCAACGGGCATTTTTTCATTTTCTGAAGTTCTAAACACCGTAAACATGTTTTCGATACAAAGTGAATGATTTCGTGAGGTCAGTTTATGTCTGTATTGTTGTTTGGCAAAATCGAACCATAACAAAAGAAAAAAGATCCAGGGCTGGAAAACCAAAATACAAATCTAAATCAACAAATTCCGCAAATCAATTGTAATATCAATTAGTGCTCATTTCTTCACAAATAGAAGCATTTATGGAAAGCAGGAAAAAAAATGTATGAACAGGTACTCGTGCTTAAAATCAGATAGCACTTGCACGCAGGCCGCGACCTTCATTCTTGGCCCGCGTTTCTATTCGTAGTGCTATCCCAACATTTCGTCACGTATTATAACATAAAGAACCATTACATTGGTGTTCTAGGTCTTGCGGCTATAGATCTGTTGGCGTTCCAGTTCAAGGTCGTCAAACGAATAATGCCATATTCGATTGTAGAAGCGTAAAAATAATGTTTGTGTGAACGCCGGCGCCTAGATCAGCGCAGCCACCTCGGAGCTTTCACCTCAGATCGCACATTAGTCAAAATCCGTCCCCGGACAAGTATGCGACTGTAGGTATTTCGGAACGTTTGTGATCAATAAAGTCTGTAAATAGGCTGAAAAAAATCCGCCCGTAACTGGTTACACCTGCGATTATTTCACGCCGTGTGCGTCATATTTGCCGAACAAACAAGTCCTTTTATTTCTATTTGCATTCATAAAATAAACGTTCCTGCTAATGAATTATTTATGCAAAACGTGAGCGTCGATCTTGCAGGTTTTATTGTTTCGCTGAAAATATTGTTTGTTCGCGTTGAGATCTGCAAGATAATGGCGATTGTAATTAGCTCGGGTTAATGGCAGCTGATCGAAGTTCTCGGCTCGCTCCCGGGTCGTTTGATCATAATGCATGACTACCAGAGATAACAGAGGTTATATGTAGGTCGGCGTAATCAAGTTTAAATTGCTCCGCAGCCATTTGTTACATGGTTAAAGAAACAGATGTTTGTGTGACCCAGATCGCGGACGAACTCATGAAATTTTTACGACAAACTTCGCTCGGGTTCACGGCGTGTCAGAACTGGGAGATACTCT